TGTGGTATGTGTAGCTTTCTACGCCACCAAAACATCAAGGTATTGTGTTATCGTAAACAAGGAAGTGATGACAAAGTGGGACATCGGACGATGAATATTCCTCATGACCCAAACTCACAACATCTGTGCTGCAGTACCACTAAAAACAGAAAGCTTACGGGAACATGAAATATCAACAGGTTCTGATTTTTTATTTTATCTTTCATTTTTAGCTTAGACGTTTAAAAAGTGTGAATATGTAAAAATGTTTTGTTACTAAAATCTATAAAAAGACTAATTGTACGTCACTTCACTCAAATGAAGTATAAAACAATGAAAAGTTTAATTTGTCAGTTTGTGATGTTCTGACTGCCTTCTTGCAACAGATCCCGTTAAAGAAAATGATTCTTTGAACACCTTTTCTTTACTTGTCATTGGACTTTGCCTCTTCCCCCCAAAAAACCTGGGATTCTTCCATTTCTGACTGCAAATGGTGAAGGTGGGCAGTAAAAAGGATGTCACTAAGGTGGCAATCAATGTTTACAAGTGACTGACAAAATGTTTGTTATATTTAAGAGAAGAGGACCAACAAAACGCTATGAGTGGAAATGAGGAAGAGGAGTAAATGTGTGTAGACATGAGGCAAGAACAATCATCAAATGGGACTTTCCTGCGGGAAAATGCTGATAAATGTTGAAAAAATAAAGACAAAAGTATATAGAGTTACCTGAATTTTTGCTATCAGCAAGTAATAACTGATTAGCTCTCTTTTTATGTCATATTGAAGTGTTTCCGAAGTGTTTCTGGGACAGCAGCTTCAACACCAACGCAGCAAAAGTTGAAATGATATTTATAATGGTATTAGTATCAACCTAGGCAAATGCAGCCTCAGCTTGCATCCTCGTTTACATTTCAAAAGTATATGAAAATGGGTTATTGTTAAAAGGAATAGTTGGTCAGGTTTTTTTCTAATTTCAAACCAAAGCCTTGGAATTGTGTAGCCTTTCAAAATATTGAATGCTACATGGCACAATGTGGGTTCACTTTGTATATATATATATATATATATATATATACATATATATGTACTGTAATTATTTTACACACACTTTAAGCCAAATTTTATTTTTTAAAATCTACTTTTTGTGAGTTAAGTGAGTGAGTTTGTTGATGCTCATTTTCCTTTATTGATTCTTGAAGTTGTGTGAATGCTTACAGACAGAAAATAATGTTCTAGGGATATGTTAGCATCCCACAGTTTATATTCTCAAATACTACTCTCTTCCCAGTGTGGTACAACCTATCCATTGTGTTATTTGGGGTTACATGTCCTGTCATAAACAGTGCAGTGAGTCAATGCATATGGTCATGTTGGACAAAAAAAAAGCCGGTTTCATCACAAACCACAAAATTATTCATGTTTACGTTTTTAATACACAGCAGCTGGATTCTGTCTAAATGTCACTACAGTTGTGGCAAGGTACTCACTTGATTACGTAAAAAAATCAAAACGGAGAATAAGGATGACAAAGTGTGTAAACACAACTCCATCTAAAGTGACAGAAAAGAAAAAACACACACCGTTGGCAGTTTTCACATCAATGTTGTAGTGCTGTTTCCTCATATTTAGACGATCCACTATTCTATTCGCTTAAGAGATAGCATGAAGAAAACTGTGTGTTTCTGTATTTTTTGGAGTCGATGACAACATATTTCTGTCTGTGTGGTTATCACAGTGGTGTGGCGGTTAGCACCGTCGCCTCATAGAAAAGGGATCAAGCTTTGAATGTTCTGCCCGTGTGTGTATGGGGGGGTTATATCTGGGTAATCTAGCATTTTCCCAACATCCAAAAAACACACGTTAGGTTTATTGGTGATTTGAAATTGTCTGGAAGAGTGAGTGTGAGCATGTGTGCCTTTGTGCCCAATGAAAAGTTGCATTGGCTCCAGTCCCTATGTATGTTTTAAATCTGTTTTATTTAAATTAAGCGGTGTACTAATCAGAATAGAGTAAGTTGGCTATTCAAATGGTAGGCTCTTAACTCATGTTTGTTTTATTACAAGTCTTTTTTTATTTTTCTCAATAAGAAAAGTCCAAAATACTGACTTAACCAGCTGTCATGAGTTATATAACTTCATCATCGTGTTTTGATTCAGTTCTATCTGCATTTAAAATATTAACAGAGCCAGAAACTGCCAGGAATTCTGCTGCAGCTGCAGTCTGCAGCGCCTGAACATGACTCGAAGGTGTCAGAACAGACGCAAAGCTGTGTTTCATTTCACAGTGTACATAAACAGGAGATTTGCTCAGGAGATTTGCAACACCACAGATGCACACAGCACTCTCGCCTTGCTTTACGCTGCTCACTTTTTAGTACGACATATCTTTTACTATTGTAGTAATTCAGATCGAACCATTTCAAACCCATTACCTCGTTTTAATACCTGAATATAGCCAAGTCGTATTCGTAACAATGCCCTGTTTCGAATATTAGACTCTATCTGTGCTCTCCCACTCTGCAGTGGAGTGCAGAATGATGGAGGGGGGGGTGGTGAGTAACTTATTGACAGTTGTATCAGTTCACCTATTACATACGAAGCACCGGTCAATCCCTGACTGTACACGAAAAGTTGTTATGCCGTGTCACCTCTACTGACAGTTTTCTGTGTTCATTTGCAAGAAGAACACACAAAAAAAATGTGGGTCTGTGTACACATATCGCTGGATTCAATTCATGTGACTATGCCATGCTTTAATGTGGGAGAGGATTAAGTCATTTCAGCATCCACAGCTAACATCAGTCCCATGGCTAAGCTAGTTAATCCAACTTTAGCTTCAGAACTGAATTGGCTACTTTTAAGTGTTGCAATTGCTTCTTTATCCTGAAGAAATTAAAACATTTTCATAGTTTTTTAATGAGGAAACTTCAAAGACATGAATAATGAATACGGAAAACAGTCATAAAAAGATAATTATATGCAAATATTTGAACTGTTTGGCTGGATCTCTTTCTCTGCTCTCACCAAATCTCACTAAACATGTGTAGTCCATTTCACATGACACTATTGGTCAGCCCAATATTTGAAATTGTTCAAAATTTGCAAGAGTTGTGTACAAAAACATAAATAAAAACAAAAAAATTAACAATTTTGAGTCTGTAGCTTGAGTTTTCTTGCAGAGAGACAAAGTGACTGGGGTAAATTTAGAGAAAAAAATGTATTTTTTTTCCTAGTTACGTCACTGTCTGACTGTTTTGTATAGAAAGCATTGAAAGATCTATATAAATAAAAAAAAATACAATCTAGATGCCAAGCTCCAATATGACATTTCAAAGCTAAAAAGCCCTGAGGTTAGGAACACACAGAATATGAACTGAGACTAGATCAGACCAGTCTGAACATGCCAAGGAGTGAGTCATTTATTTTCCTATCATGTTTTTTTCTTTTCTTTTTTTGTTGTTGCTGTTCTGAATGATAGAGCACCGTCATCATAACAAATACCAGATTTTTCCCAATGTCCACGCCGTTTCTGCGTGATGCTTGTGTAAAAACCACACTCTCAGTAGAAAAAAAGATCTATTTACAGTATCATACAGGCAAACTTTAAAGACAGAACTTAGAATGAGTGGAAAAGAAGAAAAATAACAAGATTGTGAAGGGATATGAGAGTGATTGTGCATTTGTGTGCTCCCAAAAACATGTGCTTTGTAAAAGGTGTAAAAAGGGTCTCTCCCTGCTGTTGTGTTTCCATGTATGTGTGTGTGTGTTGTCCAGCAGAGGGAAACATTTCACAGCACAGTGATAGTATAGTAGCCAGCGGCACGGGAAAAAGAAAAAAGAGACAATCTGACACAGAGATATTTGTCAAGGATTAAAAGGGCTCAAAACAACTGAGTTGAAGGGACTGTGCAAATCAAATTCAGCAAAACCGTCATGCCACATGGGGCGTCTCCGTAAAATACACAGTATATACATATCGACAAATAAATGTTCAATCCCAGAAATGAGTTATGACAGTTTCAGTGCGTGAAACTACCCGTCTGTAGAAAATGAACTCCATTCAGTGATGAATGACGTCATTCCGAATCCAATGGGCTGATCCAAACTAAAAAAAAAAAAGAAAAAAGAAAATGGACCGGCATAAAAAAAACAAAAAACTCCTGAATGTGATGCACTTTATTTGGCTCAGTTTTGCACCTGCAGCCAGGAGCACGGCTGTATCACATCCAACGTTAGAATTGGACCGTTCGAGATGAAGAAAGAAAAAAAAAAGAAGTCAAAAGACAGCCAGGCAAAGACGTCTGCGCTTTGATCCTGTTTGCTTTTGTCAGGTGCTTTCTGCTGGGAGATTTGCTGCGGGCCCTTTGATTGGGGCGGACCTCGTGCCGCGCCGACAGGGGCACTGCTCTGGAGGAGAGGTGTGAGCGCGTGAGATGAGATTAGGAGGGCGAGGGGGAGAGAGTGAAGACGCGGGGAAACGGTGTGTGTGTGTGTGTGTGTGTGTCTGTTTGTTTGTTTCTGTACGCGCGTGGCTTGGCGAAAGGGGGGTGCTTTGGCGGGTAAATCTCAGCGGCGCGCGTTCCCCTGCGGCGGATTTCTTTGGTCCTACGTGGCATCTCCCCCCCCCACGGCAGCACATCTTGGAGCCATGTCGAGGAAGTTCACCGTCACTTTAAGCTGTCAGCACCTGCTTCCTTTTAACGTACCGAACGGATGCAAACCACAAACAAAAGAGTGGACATTCTCGCCAGTCGTCGTTTGAAATTTCTGTTCTCTGTCCTCCACAGAAGATGAACGGGAGCTTTGCGTTGACTGAGTTCTTAAAAAAAACAAAAAAAGGTTCTAAAAAATAAAAAAAGAAGCAATAAAGACGTGTACCTGACTGTACTTAACGTTCGTAGCACTTCACTGGGCGGCCCAGCGAAAGCAGGAGTCTTTTAGGAATCTGCCTATCGGTTCCCCGGGTTGGTTGGGAGGGCAATGAGGGGTGTGTGTGTGTGTGTGTTGTGTTTAAAGGAGGCCTAGACCTGCGTGGAGTAGGAGCGGTGCAGCGTGGGGTAGCGGGCGGGCGGGTGGGCGGCGCAGTGGTCTAGACTTCGCTGGAAATGGAGCGAGACGGTATGAGGACATCGGGGGTGGCGGGGAACCGATAGGGCTGATGGTCATGTGATCTCGGTGAACGGAGACCGCCCCGAAGTCTGCAGGGGAGAGAGAGGAGTGAGACAGAGAGAGGGAAAGAGAGGAGGCCAGAGGGGGGGGGGAGAGAGACAGAGTGGTGAAGAGAGAAATAATCCAAAGCAACGGGCGAAATGGTGGAGAGAGCAGATGCACGGAGCCGAAAACAGAAATAAGGCCATGGCAAAAAAAAAAGATTCAGAGTCGGTTAGAATGGCTGGACATAGGCATTGTAAGGTGGGGAGGAGGCAGAAGAGAGCGCGGGATGCTGGAGGTGAGTGAGGGACGAGGGAGCAGGTTGAGAGGAGAAAAGGCAAGGTGGGAGACAGGGAAAAGAGGCAGTCAGGTGAGGGTTAGTGACGGTGACAGACCACAGAGGACGCAAGACATCTTGATAAATACTCATCGCCCCCCCTGAGAGAATCTCGTTGGGGAAGAAAAGGTCAAATTTGAGAGGTGTGTTATGCTTTTACTTTCTGTTCGCTTGGGCTGAGGCAGAAGCTGCTCTTCGGCCAGAATTTAACTTTTTTTTTTAGCGTTCAGAGCGAAGAAACTAAAACTCTGGGTCAAGGAATGAGGTACTTCCTTCCAAAGCAAACATGAAAATAAAAGTTTTGGTCTATTGTCCACTCCACTTCTCAGCTGTGTTTTTTTAAACCCTACAAGAAGACTAAGGTGTCCTGAGATTTAAAGGATTGACTCGGGTGTGTTTTATTGGGAACAGGGGGGGAGGTTAAAGCATGGACGTCCCTTAAAATCTTCCAAAGAGGGGTTTGGGAGGATAACAGTTTGAGCTAAGAGACAAGGGGTGTGTATCGCAGCTATTTGATGGGCACCGTCATGCCTCACACCCGACCCCGCCCCTTACCTGAGGGCCACTTAACTTTTCGAGTGGACTCTCCACGCAGGGCAGCGTCACCATGGGCATGCCCAGCATGGACTCGGGGCGCTGGGGGCGCAGCGGGGGCGGACTGGGAAGCAGCTGCTGGAAGTTGTTGATCACACAAGTCACCTGGAGAGAGAGAAGAAAGAGAACAGGAAGGAGTTAACGGGAAGTAAACAAAGCGGGACGGGCAAGAGGGAAATTTAAATCGGAGACAGTTTCAAACCTGGACTCAGATTAGGGTTCACTCAGGGTTATTATTTCATCTTTATGCTTCTGAGGAAGCTTTCAATTAGCTGGCAAACAGGCATATTTGTCCATGCCAATAATTGAATGAGGAAGAAAAATATGACATTTCAAAAGAGTGCATTTGTTGTTTTTTTCCTCATAAAAACAAACGAATATTCATTGAAAGGGTGCAGACAAATGAGTTCTGAAGTATCTCTCTAAATGCCAGAGAAGGAAGTCAGGACATGACTGTGAAGTATATTTGCATAATGGCTGCCAGTGGCTAGTTTCCCATCCCTCAAACGAAGAGCGAGTGAAGAATGAGTCAGCCGGCGCAAATTCCAGCGGTCATGTTATACAGCCAGGGATCAGGGTTTGTAGAGCACTTTGCACTGGAACGCCGATCATCTTTGAGAAGTTTTAGATGATAACATCTCCTAAACAACCATGTCCAGTAGCATAAATTTTGATGTTAGCCTTTACCCATTCTGTTTTGAGTATTATGTAACACACAATTGGCTATCTAAAAGACAATGTACTATCCCTAATCTCAAAGGTTTATTGTTTAATATTTTATTGTGTGCAGGTTTGTTTGTTTTAGAGGTTTTACTTTCATCTGCTGGTTGTTGCCAATGTGTGTCATTTCTTTATTAATGACACTGACATGAAAATGAGGGCTAATTGTGATAGTCTAACCTGCCTTTTAGTGTAACAGAGGTGCAATGCTCTATTCTTTCAGTCACGTTCGTGTCATTTCAATTAGCTGCTGTTGTCCCTGCAGTTCCACCTATTAAAAGGTTGCCGTCACGGTTAATATCAGGTGGTTAAAAGACCACAGCAGGACCAAAGGGAAATGTTTAGTTATTCTAGGTCCTTTGTCATTCTGGGAGGGCAGCTAAAGGATATGAGTGTTCATTTCATGGCTCACCATTGTCAAACTAAGACAAACAAACCATGGTTAGTTTTAGATAGTCTCCTTTTTTACCACTTAACTTGGGCACATATCTCACCTGAACCACCGAAATTTAAATGTCAAATTGAATTTAGGTGGCTTGACTTTTTAAATTCAAATATCTACTTCATATTGCAGCATGAGAATGTATTGTAACACTGGAAAACTAACTCCAGTGGGCTTATAAATATATTGATGTCAACCTCCATGCAGTAAAAGTTCCTAAGTTGGCTGGTATTTGTCTTTTTTCACTTGACTCTTGCAGCCTACAGCAGCTGCCATCCTCTTTTATTCTCTTTGAATGATAAAAAGCAACTTTGTGAAAGAATCAAACACTCGGGCATACATTTAAACTTCAAACAGATTAGCTCTGATTGCAGTCTGGGAGATAAATTACATACAAAATCTTAATCTTTTCCATGTTTTCGCTTTTTCCTTGTAATGCCTCATTGGTGCTACCACCGTTCCCATCGCCCCTCACCAAGAACACGGCGATGGCTCCCCCGGTGAAGAATCCTGCCAGGACGTCGGCCCAGTGGTTGCGGTACTCAGCCACCCGGACGACCCCCACCAGCATGGCCAGGCAGAACAGAGTGAGGCTGATGGTGGGCTTGGTGAGCCGTGTGCCTTTGGTCTTGAACACCAACGTCACGTACATCTGGAGAAGGGGATACAAGCAGGATTGTGCACGATATACCACAATAGAACGCAATGATGTCAAACAGAGCTTCAGATTTCTGTCGTCTTCCTGGCTAATTCAACTGTTAAAGTGAGTAAAACTCCTTTCTTAAAATAAGTTCTAAATGCTTGCAACTGGTGATGCTGCATGGCGTCAGTGGTGGGCCGTCAGGGCCTGCAAGGCTTTCTCTGCAGGCCTAAGAAAATATCTGAATCACAGACTGATGTTAATTATATTTTGTCCATGGATACTCATTAAATATCTCTAAATAGTCTCTCCGCCTCCTTTCATAGCTTTTCCCCTGGTTGTGCTGCTTCCAGACATGCATTTTCATATAAAAAGCATTTAACCAATCACATTTCAGCCATCATTTGTCACTAGGCAGGGTCAGAGTCAAAGATGTCTGCCTGGAGGCCTTCACAATCCGTTCTGCAGGCCCCCCCCCAACAGAAAATACATGTCGAGTACGCTGTTGCTTTAACCAATCAGATTTTAGGTTGGTGAGACCAGGGCCTTCTAGAAGGCCTTAGGCCTAGTCTGACAACTAAATAAGTAGCTCAATAACTTTCAACTTTAATACAAAAAGCTGGATCTGGACATCCCTACTGTATTTCTACATAATAACATGATTTCTATAACCATAAAATAGCTTTTGAGTGGTGAATTGATTCAGACGGAGCACTACTGAAGGCCTAGGTGTGAAATGCACGGCCCGCCACTGCATGGCGTTGTGCACAAACTAAGAACAGAATTTAAAACATGTCATTTTTCTGTGTTCAATAAGACAAGAAAATGTGTTTTTTTTTAGCAACGGTAAAGTTAAAAAACACACAAACCGCAGGTTAAGAATTAGTATTTTAGGTTGGTGAGACCAGGGCCTTCTAAAAGGCCTTAGGCCTAGTCTGACAACTAAATAAGTTGCTAAATAACTTTAAACTTTAATACAAAAAGCAGGGTCTGGACATCCCTACTGTAGTTCTACATAATAAGATGATTTCTATAACCATAAAATAGCTATTGAGGGGTGAATTGATTCAGACGAAGCACTACTGAAGGCCTAGGTTTGAAATGCACGGCCCGCCACTGCATGGCGTTGTGCACAAACTAAGAACAGAATTTAAAACATGCCCTTTTCTGTGTTCAATAAGACAAGAAAATGTTGTTGTTTTTTAGCAACGGTAAAGTTAAAAAACACACAAACCGTTAGATTAAGAATGAGTAAGCATGCTCAAATCTACCACTGTGTACAGAGCGGAGTACACGCCGAGGGCCGCGTCCTTCGAGGGGAAGGATTTCCGGGCGGACATGACCACCAGCGGGTTGCCCGTGCAGGCGCGGCGCTCGGTGACGTACTGCATGGCCGACTGGCAGCCCAGGGCCGTGTAGTTCGGGCGGCAGGCGGACAGGAAGTGGGGCGTCTGGTTCCCCGTCACCACCTGGCCGGCGTTGGCGAAGATGGTGGTGGTGAACAGGCCGAAGGCGTAAACACCTTGACGCGGAAGGAGGGAGAGATATTTAAAGTTTGCCATGGATTGATATCAGAACGTACAAGTTCGCGCAGAGATAAACCAGGTGATACCAGGTTTTTGACCTGCTTAAAATAGATCAAGCACATTATTATCATCCGAGGTGTGAAATTGCAGACGAAGTCTTCACCTCAGCTGATTCAGCTCGAGACGCACATGTTCAGGCTGTTTGATATTCATGACAGTCTTCCTGCAAAGATCCGGAATATTCTACCTCAAAGATTACAGCCCGTTTTACCATCCAATTAACAGCTACATGTAGCAGGTCACACTCTTAAAATTCACCCTTATCTCTGATGGTATCTAGCTGTGATCTGTTCTCTTTTAGAAAAAAAAAGGAAAAACAGGATCACACGTGAATAGATTAAGTTCCTTTTCACAGGAGGGGGGGTTACGTATCCCCAAACAGCACCTAGGAAGCGCACGATGCGTCTGAGTAGAGGGTTGAAGTAGCAGCAGTCAGCAGTGACGATGGTCTTCTCCTGGGTTCCCTCGGCCTTGGTGAAGAAAGCGCACAACTCTCCCACAAGGATCTGTGCATACAGAGAAAAAACACAGGTAACGTTGGTTAAAGCCTGTAATGGCGAATTTATTTTTTTCTCAAATTTTCAATACACACAAAGCACTAACAAGACTGGAGTCAGAATCCTTTACCTGACCGCAACAGAACCCAGACACAAAGAAGTCTGTGGTTCAGCTGGCCCTCAACAGACCCACATAATAACACTACCACCACCGTGTTTCCTGCATAGGATACTGCTGGAACCCAGTGTTTCTGTTTCTCTAAACATGACACTTCTTATTTTAACTAAAATCATTTTAGGCATTGGTTGGAACTAATCGTTTAAACTGACGTTTGCTTAGATTATGTAATCTCTCCTAAAATGCTAATGAACAACATGGCTCCTAACACCTTTCGTCAATCTTGGAATGGGCTGTAGCCACCTGCCACGTCCGCCTTGATACGTATGGGGGGCGGATAGATGCAGGAGGGGCATTTAGGTGCCGAGGGATAAATCACAATTGATGTTTTACATGCTGCTTAAGCGCTGTTTGTTGGCTGACGGCTCCAAAAGGAAAGTGACTATTCTCTTGAATCATATGTTGAATACACCACACTCCCTTTTTACTCAATAAGCAAATGACCGAGTAGATTATTATTACTGTTATTTGACTTATGTGTTTGAGTGTATCCTCTTAATTTAGTTTCGGCTCAAAATGGGGAGAGTAAATGCTTGAAAAGGGAAGGATGCATTTTGTGGTGGCTTCCCAGTAACATAAAATACTCCAGAAACTTTACACACTTTCAGACACTTCAGCAAACATTTGCAGATGCAGTTGCATGCTGGAATGAAAAAGAATAAACACTTCTAGATAACAAAACAAAGAAAAAATTGCTCTACCTAAAGGGCTGATCAGGGAAAATAATAAAAACAAACAAAAGGAATCATGTAATTGCCCAATTTGATGATTTTCTCAAACTCTCTGACTGACAAGGGAAAGGTGGGAACATGCAGATATGTTATGGATGCTTCCGGATTCATTTCTGGAATTTTGTGATGAGCTTTTAGCTGAAATTTTAATCAGGTGACTGTATTTGCTTGGCTTCAAACAGTGTCTCTATTTGAACTGACAGCCTTACAATATGCTGGCACATTCTGAAATGTCACCTTCTCCCTCCACAACTTCTCTGAAAACAGCTATGTGCCTCAACTTTAAAAGGATTCTGACAATTTGCATGCCGTTAGTGTGGCGGAATCCACTTTATCGCCTGATTATGTTTCACAGACCCATCGAATTCATTCTTCCGCCACGCTTAACATAAAATCCCCATTTATGCCTAACACTCTCTAAACGTCTGAGAAGTGAGACCAGAAGGAAATGAAATAACTACTGACACGGCTAAAAAAAAAAAGAGAGAAGAGAAGAGTCCTGTTCAAGCTAAGTCTTGTGGTTTGGAGCATTTTTCAGAATTCCCAGCTGAGTCAGAAACAGTTCTTATCAGACAGGGACCTACTCGAATCAACAGTGTGTGTGACCAGCCGGGCAGTTTCTTTCATTAAGCGGACAAAAACCCGACTGGGCGCATCATGACCAATCTTAAAAAATTTGTGCGAGCAAGAAATCAAAGCTGGCAGGGCGGCAGTTTAATCAGTAGCTTCAAATCAGACATATCAGGGGGGGGGGTTTCATCAGATTGTCATTATTTTTGGAGCAATTAAACAGATAGTAAAGTGGCCGTTGCCATGGGGACTGTTGCTCTACAAACTGAGCTTGTGTACCCAACAAAACACAGCTGTCAATCAACTACAAGTATCTCTGAACGTTTTTACCTTGAGGAGAGCCGTAAAAGAGTGGGAGGCAATCATTTTAGAAACGCAGTAGTATTTTTTGTGCTTTTATACTCCTGTTATTGAACAGCCTGCTCTCAAAGCAAAGCGATAAACCTCTCATCCATCATTATCTTTAGCAACAGGAGTAGTGATGCTGCAGCAGTTTTGTCATTATTTCAACAACACAGATCCAATGTGCATATATGTGTAGTTTTTTTTCAACAAGACAAAAATAAAGTAAAAAATCAATGCAGCAACATTTACATGTTGTTCTAATGGGGAATAACTCCGAGTATTTACCGAGTTTTGCCATTGTCTATTTGCCAGTTACCATTGCCCAAATCTGTAATGATGACCTGGAGTCGTTTAACATCAGATTAAAGCAAATCTCCCCATCCTAATGCCGGTGCGCCTGACTGTTCCTTTTAAGGACAAAACAAATGCCCTGTTGTCTTTACGGCTGCAGGTGTCTAATGTCATCTGATTTAAAAATTCTTGTAAAAGCTAAAATGGGGATCAAACGCTTTTACATTGACCGTGCTCAATCGAGTTAGCTTGGGTACAAAGTGTGCCACAACACGTTTCAGTGTAGTGTGTATACCGCTTTATTTGTGGCAGTAATTCAGTAAAAGAAGTAGTTGGTTAATAGTAGGAAAGCTAATCTTAAGGGGGTAAAAAACAACGGTGGTGGACATCCAAAGGAGGAAACTGGGGTTCTGATGTTCCTCTGCAGATGTCTTGGACATTAAATATATTAGAAGACACTAATCAGTCAAATATTTTCGACCGACTTCTAGCTCAGGCAACCAAAAATGAGTCCAGCCAATTGTAATGTCAGAGAAGATTCATGAAATTGTTTCAGTTCACTTTGTGAGCACTTAGAACAATTCATTTCCCTGGATTCATTTCGAACACTTAAATCTGCCTGTAGTGTGCATGCAACTCTACTTTGTTTAAGTAAGAGTCCATTAAAGCTGCGGCTTCTGCTGTTTTTCATGTTAGTTGCTTGACCGATCTCCATTTTCAGTATCAATACTTAGCTCATTTGAGGAAAACGAGGAAGTACCTGCTACAGAAAATACACAAATCTAAATTCTGTCTCATTTTTTGAGAGTTTCATAGATCATACAAGTTTTTAGTCCCCAATCACCGATGGTGCAGCAAGAGTGCATGCATAGAAATGCATAGAAGCCTGACATTTATGTATGATGAGGGAACAGAGGTAAGGCTTAGGGTTTACACTACAGCACTGAATAATCCATGTTTGAATGGCATCCAAATGAATCACATTTTGAAATTTTCTCTCTGCTTTAGCAGCTTACGCTCCGATGACCTACCTCGGCCCTTTTATTTATGACGACGCTGTCACGGCGGTTTAGCGGCGATCGGATAATGATTCGATTAAATTAAAGTTCCTCTTCAAGTCGGCGTAAGATGACGGCGTAAAAGTAAAGCGGTGCGTCAAAATTATGTGTCATCATAGGGGTTTGTGAGACTGAGGAAATCTGTGAATGTATGATTGCCAGTGCGCCCTCTGATAAACCGTGGAACAAAAAAGTGAAAGGAAAAAGGCAGTAATACAGACACGGGACGTGATGTGATTAATTTGCTCACCCTCTACGAACACTGTTGAAGCCGTTTGCATCTACTTATAGAAGCTGGGTTATTCTGCTCTGCGTTTATAGATAATCAGATCTCCAGTTATGTCGGTAGGCATTACTGATATGTGAGAGCACAATCCCACTGGCCCCTTTTTCTTATCTAATAAGAATCTATTACGAGACAATAAGCAGAGGATGCTTTGTACTTTATGGTGATTTTGTGCGGATTCATTAAGGATTAAACAAGTAAAACAGCTCTCCTACTGAAATGTGTTGACTTGGAAAACAGAGAATTAGTCAGAAGATCAGAAGAAAGGCATCAGACAAACAGTCTGTTGTGGTATCATCGCTAAGAATGATGTCAACAAAGCTGCGAGAAACAAATCGAGCTCTGTGACACTGCTGCAAAGCAGAGATATGGATTATTTCCATGAGTGTGTTCCTTGTCAAATATTTGACGTTCCATCTGTGTTAGTGTTTTAAAAAATCCAGCTAAAATAAAAAAAATACATAGGGGGGAGAGAGGCAGATGGAAATAACCAGATAATATCATGCATAAATGCAAATTTTGGAAAGCTGCACTGGCTTTCATTTGCTGGAAATAAACTGAATGTCGCGTGATCTTAATCTACAGATTACAATTCAAAGCTTATGTTTGGCTTTGAGACAGCAATGTTTGGCGAGGAGAACGCCGATCAAAACACGTTTTGACAACATTAAATATCCATGACTAAATAAGAGCAATCCAAGACTGGGGTGGAACTTTATCTTTTTTTTTTCACCAGGGTTTGACTAACAAAGGCCAAAATGAGACAAGTAAACGGAGGTTTTTTCACACCAGAGGAAAAGGTCACCAAATTCAAGTGTCTTTGTATGTAAAAATACAGACCTTAAAGGAACCATAGAGGAATACAGTGGACAAAGGTTTATTAAACAACAACTACCTGATCCTGATTTGTCAATGAACCAAAATTGCCTGTTAAAACACTTCAGCGCAACCATTCTAAAATCATATGAAGCCCATTGTCATCATCAAACTCTTCGGGCTTTTTACGGAAGGCCACAAAAGTTCCACAGGTGTGTTTTCTTACCCGTTCCCACATTTCATATAAAAAAGTTAGAAGTTATTTTTAGATGACATGTTGCCTTTGTATTGAGACTATGTACAGGCTCAGCAAAGTCAGAGATCACAGCATTGAGATGTGGAGGAGAAGAGCAACGAGCGGTTGTTTTTCCTTTGATTTAAAAAGAAGCTCAGCAGAGGCGACAAAAACAGGATCAAACAATCATCCTCACAACACCCTGGGAGCTGTTCTCTGTTCCTGTCTATGAGAACATGTACTCTGTACATTCAACTTTAATTTAGATAAACCAGTTAAATCAGCAATCAAGTTAGCATCTGAATCGATCCTGAAGAGTAGAACTATACAAAAGCCTGTACATTCCCACCCCTCTCCAGGCTACCTAATGGTTTGCCCCAAACAGGTGATGGATTCTATTCAGCTGGAGACTTTTTGGCTGTCCTCGTGTGCTTCCCGGTGATAAAAACCTGTCAAGAATGTCAAAACAATCTAACAAAGCACAACATTCATCCGTAAATTACATCACGACATGTTCGTTTTCACGGGTGTGGGGGTGCAGCGTATCTTCCTCAAACCACCTCAGGCTCATTTTCTCAGGTCCAACATATTTTGTGACTATTTGTGTTGCCAATTTTGAGCCCACACACTGATTTTTCCCATTAGCATCTCGACTAAGACTTACCAAGGGAACCCACCAGGGTGAGAGCTTCCTTGGATATCCAAATAGGCCCAAGATAAGACGCCCAATTTCTGCTATAGTCTGAGCATTACCCCACTTAGGGTAAATAAATTAATATGCCATTTAGGTTTTGACCCATGTGAAACCTGCATGGACACGGCTTTGTTTGGGATATAGCCATGGCTGGGACAGGTTTGGTTGGAAAGCCAAAATACGAGAATCACGATTCTTAAAAAATGTGATACAAAAACATACTGTATAAAGGTAGAAATAGTTGTTTGGCCAGACAGGCAATGTAAAAAAAAATACAGCACAAATAAAATGGAAAGTAAAGTGTACAAATCACATAAGATTATTCAAACATATGACGGAACATGTTTTAAAGTATGATTAATCCCCATCTACTTTCGAAGGTTGCGTAATTTAAATCAGTGTTGGTACTGCAGTCCGTATAGAGGTGTAGAGGGGTCCACCCTAAAAGGTAATCAATCTATTCATTTCAATTTCATTCTATTTAAATTGTGCCAAATCCTAAAAATGTCTATCTCTACACACCATCTAGTAACATGATTCAGGGACACTATAAACTGAACAAATTAAATGAAAAACAACTAAATATGATCAGAAACACTGTTTTTTTCCCCGTAGAGCAGGGGGGGTCGAACTCCAGTCCTCTTTGGACCGCTGTCCCACAGGTTTTAGACCTTGTCCTGATTCTGATTTAATTGGCTCTCCTATGGACATTGTTGAGCTTTGACCTGGCTCTATGATGTGAATCGGGTGTGCTGAAACGGGGAAACCTCTAAAACCTGCAGGACAGCGGCCCAAAGAAGACTGGAGTTTGCCACCCCCCGCTGTAGAGGGTTGAAGGATGGCTGAAGTAGTCAAGGCAACCCAGCTATTGACGATTGGCTCGCAAAAATGAGCTCAATTCAGCACATATGGTTCCTCTTGTTTGGCATCATTTTTAACTCTGATCTGAAAGCCTGAGGCCAGGTAGGACTCTCAGACCACCAAACCAAACATTATTAAAAAATATTAACAGTTTTTACCAATAATTTCTTCCTTAAATGGATAGCGAAATCACCGGGGTTGTGGGGTGATTAGCTAGTCTGATCAAAGCTAGCTGCAGGTCCGTATTCCAGAGGCCGACTGCTGACCCAGCGCAGAACTGTGGCCGTAAGACCTACTGCTTCTGACAACGCGGGGGAAACTTATTCATGTGTGAAGTACAACGAGATGCCCGGCTGTCACTGAAATCCCATTATGTGTCATCATCCCCAGAGTCCACCGCGCGGAATATATGCAAGAGCCGGGCTAATGGATGATAGTGCAGGACTCTGAGAACATCAGGATCATCACCCCCCCACCCCCACCCCATCCCGTGTACGTGGCGCTGACTTCTCCACAGGGTTTCTGACTGACAACAGGAGTCTGTAAGCAAATCAGAGCGAGTCAAAGGCAGGATAGGTGTGACAGGACGGAGACAAAGCAGCTTTATCAAAATGACGGGACGTGACGGAAAAAGATTACTCGTACAAACATCGTAGGCTCACACACACAGACATGGATTGATTGCCTTTGCTAGAGTCTCAAGAGTGAGGTTGCACATTGTAACCGCTGTTAGCCTGTTGAGAATCTGTCCACACACTCCGAGCACGTTCCCTATTGTCCCCTTCCTTTTCTTTGTAGCTGCTCCAGGCAAAAGCGCTTCATCAATGGGTTGACTGTATTAACATTCTCTCTCTTTTACCTTTACCTTTCTTATTTTTACATGTTTTTCCACACTTGTGAGAAGTGAGGGTTTGCAGCGTTCTTTGTCTCTCGACTTCTATTTTTAAACGCGTTCAATTTCATGCCCTCATTCTCCCCGTTGTGGTACAAGCCTTCGAAATATGCATCAATGAGATGTTATTGTTCGGTTTTTTATCTCCCTCCCTCAGTGTTTGTCCCTGGACGTTGTGCGCTCACAGCGAGCAGTTCTGTGATCCTTTGGCCACAGATTAAGGGTTAGTCACTTACCAGTAAGCACAGGCTTCGATGCCATACCCCATATCGGACGATGCTGTTTGAACAGCAGGAATTTCCAGGAAAAGAGTCTTATTTTTCATGAAAAAAGAATGAGTCCCACTTAAAGGACCTGTTGGACTACGGATGACTCCTCCAAACTTAAAAAAAGTGACATTTTCAAAGAACCAAATTGAGGTAAATCAACAATGAGTTTTTCTGAATGGGTGACAGTTTAACAAACATTATTTACACTTCCTAAACCTAGGTAAGAACTTTTAAAGCCTGAACCAAACCATACAACTAGTGCAGATAAAGCAGTGAAAACGTACATAACAGTTCAGGAAGGTCAAAGCTTGACACGATAGTTTTCGATTTCCACACAAACTGGGGGGAATATTCAAACTCCACACAGAAATGTCTGGGTTCTCTCTGGGTACTCCGGCTTCCTCCCACCATCCAAAAACCTGCATATTTGGTAGATTTGACACTCCAAATTTCCCCGAGGAGTAAATATGAGTGTGTGTGGTTGTTTGTCTCTGTGTGACCCACCGGAACTGCACTGGGAAAAAGCGGTATGGATGAATACAATCGGACCTATCCGTACAGCAGTGTTACAAATGTAACAGCTTTACATGTAAATGCCTTCTTAACCAATCAAATTAGCCCCAAGATCTCAAAATAAGCTTTTATAAGTTTTGGACACAAGCACCAACCTAAGAAATTGTTTCCATTAAAGGTGTAAAACTTTGTTCTTCTATTTCCGACCAGCCAACAGCTCATCTAAAAGGTCAGCTACGTAAGATGACCGCATGCTTTAATCTTAGAATGTTTATCAATTGGGTCATAGAAAATCGTTGGAAATCGGTTATATATTCTGATAACATATATATATCGTATTTAGAACCTCAAACAATGTGAATCTTAACAGCGCATAGCCTACAGACTGTTGTATTTCCTAACCATTCATCTATAGAATTACTGCTTCCTCCCTCCTTTCTTTTGTCCAGATGTGGTCATTATGTGCAGAGTGCTCAGGTGCAGGTTCGGTCTGGCGTTCCGATGTAAGAATAAAGCACGCTGAGTCTGGATGAACCTCTGTTGCTGATGCAGAGACCTCAGAGGTACTGCGAGAACCGTGGCAATCCACCGACCGTGAAGTGGGCCCTGTGGTACGTCTCCACTCTCCCTGAGTGAAAATGGGATCAAAGCTCAGAGGCAGAAATGACAACACCCCTTAGTCTAATCTCCCCCTCAGAGGAATGGATGACCTCTGCCGAAACCACGATGTGGGCAGCGGGGAGGCAAAAAAACTCTGATTTCTCTTGCAATACCCTCCCTGCAGCGCAATCGTCTACGCAACTGCACGAAAGTGAGACGGTGGTTAAGGTGGCGGAACCAAAGGAAAAGTGACAGGCCGAACACAGAGACCGGTGGTGATTTCGAACATCAAAAACGGTGACGCAATCCGGCCGTGCCCGAGATTATCATCGTGGGCCGCTATCAGATGAAAGTCAGATTGGAGACCGTACAGACGGGGTTGAATTATGTGTCTGTGTGGATATCAGCACCCCAGATCTTTAAAGCGCGGAGAGAAAAACACTGAATCTTTTCTTGCCATAAATAGAATCTCTTCCTGGATATCTCCTCTGACATCTCAGCTCTGCCGTGCATTAACGCCCCGTGCAGGATTCTAAACCTCGAAAGTCCTCGCCCGAGCACATATGCTCCCCCGAATAACACTCAACAATCTCCCTCCATGAAGCCTACTTTGCCATCTGTCTGATAAACCCGGGTGAGCAGCAAGCAGGCCTTCATTGTAAATTTAAAAAAAGAAGAGCAAAAGCTTTGACTGAAGTGTACAAATGTACATGGATGTGTTTTTTGTTTTTGAATTTTTTGCACGGTCGTTGTTCATTCTTTCGAGGCGAATAGCAGTTTAGCATCAGTCCAGTGTCAGTAGAAGAGAGGGCTTCAGCAGGACAATGTTATCGTCAACGAGAAGTGTTAATTTAATTCAAAATGTGCTGCGGGCATCACCTAGATGGCAAATGTTTTACAAGTGTTTGTGGTTTACCATGGAGCTCCCATTGCTTGTTCAAGGCCAGGAAAAAGAAACCCTGAGAGCTACATCTCAAACTCCACACTGGTTAGCATGCTAAAATTTTAAAGTTAAGGATAGCCCTGTTAGAAAAAAGACTGAACAAGTATGGATTATTTGGAGGAGTTGTCATAGACAAACTTCCTCTACAGAAAAGAAAATAGCACAGCAGGTTAGGTTTGTAAAGTTTTTTCTTATCAAAGCCCAAGACTTGTGGAGGTAGGACCTAAGACC